GCGGAGGGAGTATTTTTCTTCTGGCGTAAAAAAATGAGATTTGAGATGATTTGGGCAGCCAGTTGTCCATGACTCTGACCAGTCGATTCCCTGGCCAAGGCCCTTTACTTCACAGCAAGAGATCTTTGAAAACTTTCGGAGGTTTCCTGCTGCCAGGATTGAGCTGTGTGCCCTGTAAAGACACCTGTTGTGCACGCCGGAGTGTCCCTTGCTGAAGCCTTCTCTCTAGTCGCCATTCATCTAATCGCCTCGTGATCCAGAATCCCAGGGCACACACCGAGTAAGGTCCTGCAGTGCATATTTAAAAGACACCCTGCATTTTCCTGAAAGGAAAAAACAAGTTATTTACCGTGATTTAGGAGAATCTGCAAAGGAAAAGGGTACAGAGAGTAGGAAAGTGGTTCACTGCAAGAGCTCTGAGGTCAGCAGTGTGATTTGGGGCCAGTAAATGAATGTTTCAGTATCCCAGTTTCCTTACATGTCAAAAGGGGGTGATCGTATCTACAATATAATTTGGTGGTGAGGAATAAATGGGCTACTCCAGACAAAGCAGAGCTTCGCCTGACACTAAATATTTGCTGCCACTACCACTAGTACTACCGTTACTTTTATAATAACGCTAACCTCAAGAAAAATCCAGTGACTTCCCCTATAAGAATAAGGGAAAATTCTGGGGGAGACCAGAGCAGAACTATGTGAATTTCTAGGATTGAATGCGGGGTAGAAGGGGTTCTTTATTTGGTTTGGAAAGGCTCCATCATTCTCTCTAACCTTAACTGAAACACCTGTCTTAATTGTAGTTACACACAATTTGGTACAAAGATTCTCTCCAGGAACCCAGTTTCCTTTTCTAGACATAAAATTGTATTTGAAAAACATTATTCATTTAAAACTTTGATGTTTATGCCTCTAATTTGCCATTTCTTTAAACATATCTCCTTTTTAATCAACACTAATCGTGTTTTTTATCACCAAATATTTACCACTCCACTAAGGAAAAAAAAGAAAAAGTAGTTATAATTAATTTCCTTCAGAAAGGATTCTTTCATGTTGAACCTCCAATATTGGGGTGGGAGAAGTTGATGGGGGGGTTGGGATCCCCCTTACAAACACATCATTTATTATCCGTAAGATCGGGTCCTTGTCAGTTGTGTGGACCCACAAGTGTATGTATCTACTTTCTCATTGTTTATACTTTGTATTTTTCCACCTAAACAAAAAAAAAATGTAAATCTCATTTAATAGATCAGGTGCGGTTGGAACTATGGCTTAATGATTAAGCCATGCTGGATCCCACATGTTCAATCATATGGTTTAAATCCCTGTCCCGGCAACTTGAAAAACATGCAGGACGTGTGTGTGAGTGCCCAAAATCTTAGTAGGACCGAGAAATGGAGGAGAAGAAATTGCTGCATAACTACACTCCACTGGGGGATGCTTTCTCCCTCTCTCTCTCTCACTTTCTCTCTCTCTCTCTGTGTCACTGTCTTGCAAGAGCATACACAGTCTCTGGCCAAAATATAATTAAATAAATAAATTATTTAAAATTACTGTCATTTCTACATTCATTTATGTGAAAATTTAGGTTATTTAAGCATATTTAACCCCTTTGTGATTCTATATATTTAATATCTGGATCTTTCATGTATGTATACTAAAAATATATTTAATTTCTTTCAAATTTCTGGTTATACTTTGAAGTGAGAAAATCAGGTTTATTAGTGCTTTTAACTGAGAAACACTAGAGAACAGCTTTATAGGAGAAAGATAATTTAGTTTCAATTAGGTTAAGCTGAAGTATAAATCACACCGAAGTTTCTAGGAGGCTGTCTCCATGAAAAAGACATTAGTGGAAAACAAATTTGTTGATAAGGTAATCCTTGAAACTAGTAGAGAAAATGAGCTAGTTCCTGGGAGTGCTCAACAAAGAATGCAAAGAGAAGACTGAATTCGAAAATACAACATCATTTTAAAGATGATAATTAAGATTTTCCTTTAGATTAAAAGCAACATTTTTATGTATTTATCCACTTTTTCCACTCTACGGAGAAGAATAAGAAATCATTAAAGTATGAAGCATTCACTATTAACTAGTTGTTTATAAGTTTTTGAGTGAATCCTCTCATAATTATCGGTGCTTCTAATTTGCCATTAATTAATCTTCTTCTACAATATTTAGTTATACTTTTCCCCCCTTTCTTTGCTTGTTATTGGTTTTCTTAGCAATACAATCTGGATGTTTATAATTTTTTTTGTTCTATTTCAATGATAACACCATGGGAATTAGTTGTTGGATTTAGAGTTTTGCTAATTCTTCACTCTCATAACTAGTGTGCCTACTTAAAAGTCTTGGACATATTAAAACATTTTTCCTTTGAAATATTTACCAAATGAGGTTACTAGATGAAAATAAATGATAAGTTTAGTTTCTTTTATAAAGAACTTTAGTCTTCTTGACAGAAAAGTTAGGCTGTAATATAATGTTGCCAGGTTTTCTGAGGATAACTAACATTGAGTGTGTTTTAAATTTGTTTTTGAATTAAATATTGCTAATAGGTATGGAAGCAAAATAGTATCTTAATCTTAGATTTAAATAGTCTGTAAATCATTTTATTAAGCCTAAAGGTGGCCTATTTTATTTTATTTTAGATTTGGAACTATTACCTAGACTTGCTTGTTCATTTTAACACCAATTTTTGGGGCTTTTTTTTTGCAGTGCCAGAAAATACAAAGAAAGTATGAGGAATTGTGATATTATTAAGATAGTGCATTATTAGAAAAGCTACATAAAGCTGTTGCTAACAGATTGAATTTATGCGACTTATCTGAGTATAAAAAAATCTTTGGATTTATGAGAAAATAATTGTTAAGTTTCTTATAGGCTGGGCCACTAACCAAAGTGACTCTATGTAAAGACAGAGATGGAAAGCCGAAGTCTTTTGGGTTTGTCTGCTTTAAGCATCCAGAATCTGTGTCTTACGCCATAGCCTTGCTGAATGGAATTCGCCTGTATGGAAGACCGATTAATGTGCAGTATCGATTTGGTAGGTGCTATCACCGATGAATCTCCAAAGTGTGTTTTATGGTTGCTGCTGTTCTCAGATGTGTAAGGGTTTTGTTTTCTATATAGTATAAGGCAAAAAATAAATAAATAAAAAGAGGGGCCAGCAGATGGTGTAGTGGTTAAGGTGCTGGACTCCCACGTGGCTGACCATGATTCTAATTCTAGACCTGGCAGCTTGAAAATCACACCAGGTGCATGTGTATGTATGCTCAAAGTCCCAGGAGGAGAATGGAGAAGAAGGGATTGCAGTGTGACCGTCTCTTCTAGGGGGTGATTTCTCTCCCCTGACAGGCACGTGCACCCTATAGCAAAAATAAATAAACATTAAAATTTTTAAAATAAAATTTTAAAAGTGCCTCTGTGGCCACTGTTAAATTTTCTCAGAACATATGTCCAATTTATGATGTTATATAATTCATTAGTATTACCAATTCCATTGCCAAACCTGTAGCACCTTTCTTATATTAAAAATGTCCTGTTTTTGTTATTAGTCAGCAAGTAACTGTAATGGGTGTGATTGGCATTTATAAAGAGAAAATCTAAACAAACTGGGAACACACATCTCTACCTTTTACACAGCAAGACTGTTGTTGATCTTGTCACCGCTAATCCATGGTATCTTCTGTTCAGAAGATAAAGTGGGTGCATTAGTCCTAAGAAAGCCATCCTATGTATGTTGCCCTGGACGTAAAGCCCTGTGAAAGAGCAAGGTGGCCCAAGGCAGCTGTAGAGTGACCCTTTCTGGTGGTGGAGGAAAACTTTGTGATGTGAATGACCCCAAATGCCATCTCCTACACACGTCAGGTACTGGTCACCTATGACTAAATGCCCGCAGAATGCCATACTATAACTCCAGCCCTTTCAAGTTGCAGCGACTAATGGATGCCATCTGGTATTTCTTGTAATATTTATGTTACCTCCTCTAAATGGTTCAGGCTTATTGCATATTGTTTGTTTGTTTGTTTTTTAGTCTTGTTATACTAAAAACAAAAATAACAGAACCAGGGCCTTCCTACAAAGAAAGAGTGCTTCGTTTTTTTATTTTCTTTCTTTCTTCTTCTTCTTTTTTTTTTTTAATTCATGGAATGGTCTTTTAACTCACACAGGCTAGTAGACAAACCCAGGACATACTATGTATATGATGTAAGTTTGAATTAATGGACTTTTGTTCAAGCAGGTTAGTAAACTCATGCCTCTTACACCAGAGGCAAATAACACTGATTATTTGCCATTTTAGTTAATAGATGCTAGATGTTTAGAACAAAATGTCATACATCTTATATAGTCTCATGTCAGTATAATTACTACATATGGCCTCCATTGCTTCCGACAAAGCTCAATTACAATTCATTTGTTTATAATAATATTTTAAAATTCTGTAAATATGACATGAGCAGTCACGTAGATACAACTATATCTTGTGTGAGTATGGAATTTTATTTCAGTACTCTGTTCTAAAATATTTGGTGTTATTTTATGGTTTTATGTTAGGACTCCAAAAATTTTCATCATGACATAATGCTATTCTATTTCTTTTAAAGGGAGTTCCCGATCTTCTGAACCAGCTAACCAAAGTTTTGAGAGTTGTGTTAAGATAAATTCGCATAGCCACAGGTAATTAAAATGTATTTTTATCAAGGTAAAGAAAATAAATATGTTCTTGTGCCAAGAAGAGTTTTTATATCTTCTGGGCTATGATAAAACCTTTCTATTTAGACATAAAATTAAGGACTTAATTTGTCCTAGCCCATGATAAATGACAAAGTATTTTCATTTAAAGTTTGGTCTTAATATTTGCAGTAACAAGTGATAGGGATTTATATCTGTCATGTTCTTTATAGTGTCCATGTGCTTTTTATAGCTGGTGATTCATTTAAGCGTACAGTCTCATTACGACGAATCACAGCAAAAATGTTATCCACATTTTATATTTGAGCAAGTAGAGGTGCAGAAGTCAACCAGTTCTCAAGGTCACAAAGATGATACAGTGATGGGCTTGAAACTAAGCCACAGTAAGCCATTCAATTATTTATCTTCTGTTTTTTGGAACTTACCTTTGTTGATTTCAGAATATTGTAGAATTCTGTATAGCCTGATTCTTGATGCAACAGTAGCCTCCAAATACACTATCTATCAAGCTGTCTTAGCGTTCAGGGGACATAAAAGGTTCCCCAACCAAATTATGATGCTCAAATCACATCAAATAAATCATTTTAAAAGACATGGTGAAAAGCAAGGGGAAGATGTGAGGTAGGTTAGCAAAGCTAGGATAGGAAGAGGGTAGGAAGTTTCCACTAGCTGAGTTCAGGTCTCATTAATACTCATATGCTCTGTTTCTCTCATTACATCAGCCTTCCTGTTCATAATGTGGTTAAGGGGACTAGGGCTGAGGTTAAAGGAACAGTATCCATTCAGATGGAAAGTTCCTAGAGCCAATGTCACTCATTTACTCTCTTAAAGAGACTGAGCGGCAGATATACCTGGTCACAGAGATAGTTTTCTGGTTCATCTGTTAGGTGCCCTCAGGTTTCCTGAGTTTCTTAGGAGGAGTGAAGACAACTGTTAGCACAGAAGTGGCCCGAACAAAACTTAATCTTTTCTTCCCATTCTATCTATAAGTAACACTCATATTTGACTCACTTTATGTTCTATTGAGTCTATATATATCTGTGGCATGTCATACAGGATACTAATTTTATACTATCTATATTTAATGTATATTAAGAATTCTGCCTGTCATTCTCTCTCTCAACTTTCCATCACTATCTCACTACTAGCATATTTATAGTCTAAGCATTTCTTATGAGTTTTGTCCATCCTGTTTATTTCCTTCCAGAGCGGAACTAAGTATTTTCAAGTAAACTGAAAATAGCCAAACCTCTTAGCCTTGTTAATTATATCTTCTCTCTGAAACGTAGGACAGTGGTCTCCTGGGTCTGGCACACACCCAAGAAAAGTACTGCACCCAGAATAAAGCATAGTTTGCTCTAAATCTTCACTCTCTCAGCATTTCTATATTGGTAAAATTAAGAAAATAAGTGGTAAAATCTGATTGCCTGAATTTGAATCCTGCTTTTGCCACTTTATTAATGGTCTGACCCTAAGTTATTTCACTGCTCTCTACCCCATCTCTGAAATGAAGATAATACCTCAAAAGGTAATTGTGAGAATCAAATTTTATAATAAATGCAGTTTTCTTAAAGTGCTGGGTACATGACAATACTCAATAAACGTTAGCAAAAAGGGTGAGATTTACTACTTCCACAGAGGAAACAAAATTGCCTTATAGATTGAGCTATGTATATGATGCAAAAGTATCCCACCTTCTTTTAGTATTAAATGGGGAAAGATACCTCTTTGTCCTCAGGTGTTGAAAAATAATTTTCCTCAAGTGCACACAAGTGTTGAAAAGAAGAAGATATTGGTTGGATTTGAGCATAAACAAAAAGACTAGCTAGGCAATACACAATGGCAACACTGTTGTATTGTCTCCTTATATTTGATACACTGTTACTAGATCATCACAAAGTCTAGGGTAGATCAGAGTTCAGTGTATACTCCCCGGTACTGAATTTCCTTGGCAGTGTTTTAGGTCTGTGCTTGGGTTGCTAACAGGAATAGTTAAGACTATAAAGAAGAGAGGTTTATTTGACTTAGGAGTCTGGTGACTGAAAAGTCCCAAGGCATGGGGCCAATGTCACAATATAAACAACAAAAGTAGAGAAGATGGTGCATGCAAAGAGGGAGACCTGGGGCCATCATCTTACTTTTATAAGAACCTCCTTTAAGAACCTGCTCTTGTAGGAACAAATGATTTCTCCTGAGAAGTAGAACTCATTTTGTCTAGCATGATAGCTTTAATCCATTCATGAAGGTGATATACCCATGACCCAAACACCACTCATCAGGCCCCAGTTCTTGAAGGTCCCTCCACCTCCCAACACTATGTACTGGGGACCAAAATCCAGAACATGAGTATGTGAGATACCCATTATCTAAACCACAGTAGATAGTATGTACTTAATTCTCCTAATATTTGTTATATTATGAAGGAAATCAGAATAGGTCATAATGTCCTAGAAGTGGCATGCAGAGAAAATAGCACTAGTTCAGTTGTCTTCTCTACAGACTAATTTTTGTGATCTTATGCCTTCTATTTTTAAGGAGTAGTTCCTGTACTTGACAGGGCTGCCATAACAAAGTACCACAGGGTGCTTACGCAATATACACTTATTATCTCACAGTTCTGGAGGCTAGATGTCTGGAATCAAGCTGCTAGCAGGATTGCTAGCAGGATTGCTACCTTCTGAGAGCTGTGAGGAAGAATCTATTCCATGGTTTCCCTTTAGCTTGTGGGAATTTGATGACAAGCTTTGGCATTCCTTGAATTGTAAAAGTATTACCTAGACCTCTGTTTCTATCTTCAAATGGTGTTCTCTCTGTGTGCATCTGTTTTGAGATGAGGCCATATGAGTGAAACAATTTCTGAAGTTCAAAGGGGCTGAAAGATCAAAGAGTTAGACAAGTCCAACCTGTTGGTCAAGAGTTTATTAAGAAACTATGGAAAGAAGCAAGGTCTTGGGCAGCCACAAGATGAGTATATCTTCATTCCCTTTACTTCCAAAGCATGTGCTTATATAGTTAGTATGGGAGGGGATTGTGTACACCAGGAGTGAGAACTATGTGCAGGGAGGCACTTGATGAGTGTACAAGTGTCTAAGGTGTCAAATCCAAATCTGAATTATGATAAGCTCTCCTCACTGTGAATAAGGACGATGTATATATTTACTACTACAGCTTAAGGCTACATTTCACCAAAAACTTCAGGGTTAAATGTTGGTCAAGATGGTAGTTTAACTTGAGTGTCACTAAAGAGCTGTGGGGTTAATCAGTGGTCAAGATGGCAGGTTAACTTCAACATGGAATCACTGTGGTTCCACCACAGCATCTGTCTCCAAATACCACCCCCCTACCCTTTAAATATGGCTAGAGAGCATGTATACTTACCAGAGAAAGACAGTGAAGAAAAAAGTGAAAAATTGTCCCATGGAGAATGGTCATACCATAATCCCTTATTTCCTCCTTTTGGGATTTTTGGGCACACATGCATATGTGCCCAGAGTGTTTCTCAGGTCGCTGGTCTAGGAATCAAACCACACATTTGGCCATTTGGGTTCCAGTTACCCCAACCACATGACACTGACTGACCTCCAAATTTCCTCTTTTATGACAATGCTAGTCACATTGGATTAGGGGTCTACTCTACTCCAGTATGGCCTAATCCTAACTAGTAACATCTGATATGGGCTTATTTTCAGGTAAGGTCCTGTTCTGAGGTACTGGGGAGCCACAAATCCTCAACTGAATATTGGGGGGAACACATCAGCCATAGCAGTTCTCAATGTACATGTGATCCCGCTATACAAACAACCATAGCTACGTATATCCTGAAGTCCACATAGGAAGGATTGTGATTTTAGAGAATCTGCATCTGGTTTTATGAAGACATCAGTAATATAGTTCCTGTTAACAAAAGCAGTTCTTTTAGGAAATAACAATTTAAATGTTTAAATCATAAAGATAACTTTCAAAAGAAATTGCTGAAAACTTATTTTACTTTTTATATCTGATCTCATCACCTCTGCTACTGAGTCATATCTTCTGCACTGTATATATAACCTCATTCCGCCTTCCATTTCATGTTTTTGCCATTCCTTCCCCTTCACACATGTTCCGATCTCCCTGAACCCTGTTTCCTAATCAGGCTGTTATATTTTTCTTCTTCCTTTCACTGGGAAGTCTTCCATTCTTCATAGCTCCATAGTTGTAAATATTACACTTACAAATGAAACTTTGCAATGCCACACATTGTTTAAATCAGGGAGCGTCTTAGTGTATTATCACATTGCTTACAGGAATACTTGTGACTGAGTGAATTTATAAAGAAAGAGAGGATTATTTGGCTCATGGCTTAGGGGTCCAGAGGGCAGCTTCAGGCAAGGCTACACATTGTGGAGGACAGGATAACTTTTATGTGTGTTCTGGTCTATATCTGTGTGCACCCTGCCTGCTTCATTTTTTCCCATATAAATACAAAAGCCCAAGAGCTCAGTCATAAGGATCCCACTCTAATGACTTTTTTTTTTTCTTTGCTATAGGCAGAGAGAGAGAGGAATGAAAGAAAGAAAGAAGAAAGCACCCTCCAGGGTGAATAGCCACACTATAAACCTGTCTCCATTCTTCTTGGGATTTTTGGCAAGCACGCACATGTGCTCAGTGTGATTTTCAAGTTGCCAGGTCCAGGACTTGAACTGCACAGTTGGCCATGTGGGATCCAGTCACTTTAATCTCCCCACCGCCTGCTGGCTCTCCCACTCCAGTGACTTTATGACACCCAAAGGCTCCATCCTGGTATACCATAGAGGGCTTAAGTTTTCACTTAACACCTTTATAATACAACCATGTCCCAACACATGATTTTTGGGGGGGGCATCCAGTCACCACTCACCAAGTCCAGAGTCCAAAACATAAACCTGTGGGGGACAAATCATTATCTGAACCACAACAGGGATTTTTTAAATTATCTGCACTAGTGTACAGAAGACCTCAGTAAATGCAGTTCTTGTTAACATCAGCATTCTTTGGAAGTAACATAATTTAACTACTTAAGCCATAAAGATAACTTTAAAAATAAATTGATGAAAACCTCTATTTTTTAACATTTTATATCTTTAGAAGATTGCATTATACCGCTATTATTAATGACTTGTTTTCTCTGCTAATATCTATGTGTTCTTTGTTTTCATAAAAATATAACATTTTTAACATTTTCCCATCAGAAAGCCAAATGTGACTCTAAATATTGAGATGTAAACAGTTAGTAATTAATTAATGTATTGCTGTATCATATAATATTTTCAGTATACACTATTAGTTTTATAACTGATCATTTGCATAGGTATGTAAGGTAGGTAGTTCATCTTAATTGAGTGCTATCAGAGAAATTCTCTTTTTTATTAAGAAAATCTGTCAAGTTTTCACAGAAAAGGACATTTATACGTAAGAAACTTAAGGTTTTGTTGCTGCTGCTTTTATCTCCCTAAAGGAATGAAGAGATGGTGGGCAGATCTTCCTTTCCCATGCAGTTTTTTCCAGTTAATAATACTGTTTTACCTCAAGAATATTTTTTCTTTCAGAAGATGGTAAGTTTTTTTTATGTGTTCTGTTCAGTTCAGTATATATGATACGAACTATTAAGAACAGGGAAACTAAGGCCAGCCAGGTGGATGGTGGGGAAGCAGCTGGATCCCACAACACTGACTATAGTTTGAGACCCAGACCTGTTGGCTTGAAATAAAACTGGGCATATGTGCGTGTGTGCCCAGAATCCTGAGGGGAGAGTGGAGAAGAGTTGAGTGTGGTATGGTCTCCCTCCTGGCCTGGGTTGGGAGGGGTGTGTGCTTTCTTCCTTTGCATCACTCTCTCCTCCCTCCCTCCCTTCCTCCTCCACTCTCTCCAAGCAGTACACACTCCCTCTAGTAAGTTTTTAAATGAAAACAAAAAAGCACTATTTGTAACATTTGGTACTCAAATTTGAACCTTGGATAAAGGCAGAAGATGCTCCAGCACTGTCTCCTGTGGAGTTCTGCTCCGACAGGGTCATCTTAAACCCCATATGTAAGGCCTCAGCAACAGCTAGTGCTTCAGGAAAACAGGTGCAGTGTGGGCCAAGCGAAATTTGAGTAGAGAATTCTCATCCAAACAAATATTTTGAGGAAACGTATTAGAATTGAATAATGTCTCTTAGTGAAACATTTTTATATAATGTCATCAATCACAAATATTGGGTCACCGGGAAAGTCATGATGCACTTTTGCACAGAAAAATATGTCAGGACTTCCCAACAGCCTAATAGATTACTTTGGGATAACGACATTTTTTTTAAAAGAGGTTTATTTTTTACCCTATAGGGTGCATGCGCTCACCAGAAAGAGACAGAGATATAGAAAGCGAGAAATCACCCCCAAGGTGGGTGGCCATGCTGCAATCCCTTCTCCTCTCGGGATCTTAGGCACGCATGCACACACGCCTGGTGTGAGTTTAAGCCACTGGGTCTGGGCCTCGATCCGCAGTTGACTACATGGGAGTCCAGCGACATAGCCATTGCCATAACAACATTTTTACTAAATTATTCTTTTTAACTAAAGGCAAAGCGAAGATTCTTAATTGATTTAGTAAATTACATTACTTTCAAAGACTCAAAAATTTGTTCTGACCCAGAAAGTCTTAATTACTGTTTTTATTGTTAAAGGTGACTTCATATATTTTTTCTTAGAACTCCTCACTATACAGATAAGAAAACTGAAGTCCAGAAATATTAATGAACAAATCCAACATTATACAGCCTGTTAGTGACAGATGTGATATTTAAAACAGGTTTTCTGATTGACAGGGTGTCATTTTTGCAAATGCTCAACATCTATTTGAGCTTTAAATTTTCTAATTTATAAACAGAAAGAAAATAATACCTTAACCTTTGGGGAAAAATCTTTTTTTTAGCTCTAGTAAAATTTTAGCCCACTACCAGTTCCCACCTGCAGCTGTCAATGTCTTCTTTGCAGCCTTTTTGAAATGTTTTGGTAGAAATGGTGGAACAAAGGGAACACAAGTTCATGGCATCTCTATTAATACTTAATGTAGCAGTACTTCCAACAATTAGAAATCTGAGTTAACAACTTCTTACAAAAAGAAAAGGAAGACTCTCTATCTTAACTGTTCTAACTTTGCCATGTATATAAAGTGGGAGCCATTAGACACACACACATTGGAAAAGCTGAATTTTTCATTTTACTTAGTTTAATCAAAATTTAAAAACCGATACCAGTTTCAATTAGTGGAAAACTTTGCAGTATATTTGAAATAACTTGGGTAGATTAATATATTTTTTTCCTATTTTAAGTTTTATATAATCTAAATTCAGAGCATATATGGCTTACATTTGTCTCCCCCCCCCCGAGACTACTAATCTATTGAATCATCAGAAAGTCTTAACCTGTTTTTTTCCTATGCAAAAATGCATCATGACTTTTCTGACAACCCAATACATATTTGGTAGTTAGCTACACACTACCGTGAATCTTACTGTTAGCCATTTAAGGAAACTCCCACATCCCTGCTGTCTGTTTTCTACCAAAACTCAGCTGGTTTACTCATAGTGATTTGTATAATAAACTGTAAATTGTTAACTCTTTTCAGCTTTATGAATCTGTCTGATAGATGAATGCCTTTTTGTTTCTCCCCACAGCAGTGGCAAGCTTATAATCCAATGCTTCCGCTTCCTTACGAGATGACAGGTTCACTTCCAAATAGCTCATCTGTGTCTTCCTCACTAAATCATGTTCCAGATTTAGAGGCCGGACCCAGCTCTTATGAGTGGACTCACCAGCAACCAAGTGACTCTGACCTTTATCAAATAAATACACGAAAGAGGCAAAGGCAAACCAGCGACAGCGATAGCAGTACAGAAAACAGCAGAGGAAATGAATACAACCCAAAGTTCCGAAGGTGTAAAAAGAAAAGATATTAGTATTTCCTTCAAAGGAAACGTGTCTACCTTGGTCTTAATTCTCTTAAAAGAAAGAAAAAAAAATACCTGTTTTTACCAAATGACCAATTTCAGAATTGTCTTTTTTGAAATGTGTAGCAATATAACTTAACCTGATTTGCTTTTCAGTTTTTGCCTTGAATGACAAAAGCTTTTTAAAAATAATATAATGTGTTCCTTTTTGTCATATTTTTGACCCATCGTCAACATGAAATACACTTGGTGTCATTTTAGTACTAATGATGAAATTTCACTACACTATGAATCAAAAGTCACTGAACGCTTAAATGGTTAAGGCAACATGCCCTCCCTAAATTGTCACCTAAAACTCTCAAATACGAATATGCCGGAAGTAGAAATAGAACAGTGATTTTCTGAAAGAAGCAAGTGCAAATATTTAAGTGTCGCATGCTGTTCCTAATGATGTAATAAACAAGCTTTCTTTTCCTTCAGTGATATATTTTCTTTTTTACCTCTAGATAAGTTATTTCAGAACAGTACTACAGGCTTAGTTCTTAAAGTAAGGACATATGACAGAGATGCCAAAGGAAAGATACTTACCTAGGGATACACTTGGGCCATTTTATTTTCATATGATTATATATAATTAAGGGTACCTCCTTCATCTCAATTGTGTACCATGAAAATTAATTGGCTATGTCAGTATGTACTATCTGCCTCTTTTGCCTGCAAGGTTGAAAGGATATATTTTATATAATTACATGTTAATGATAAATAGAATATTAATGTATAATATTTAAAACTTACTGTTGAATCAAGTTTCCTATTTTGGGTTCATTTATTTTAGAAGGTAGAGAATATATAAATAAAATTAATAGTATATATTTGAACATTTTCTTTAATTTTGTAACCTGTTATAAATGAAAATGATGAAAATCATATTTTCTAAAGCTAATTGAAAGAATCATTCAACTGTATTGGGAATGAATTACCCAATTTGATAGGAAAAGTCATGCCTAATTATTTCTTTTGCATGTAGCATAGCACTTTATAGAGATTTATTATTTAAAAGAATAAAGATACATTTTTCTAAAAAGTAGTAACTGAATCTAACTCTAGATTATAAGTATACAATTTGGTGGGGTTTAAAACATAAATATTAGTCTGTTTCCATCTGGTCAGTGTTTAAAAAAAACTTTGCTTTATCATTATTTTTATGTTTTTGAATACGTAAGTGAAAAGAGTTTTTTTCTTTTTCTTCTTTGGTGGGAGGAGAGGTTTTTGTTATAGGGCACATGCACTTGCCAGAAAGACAGAGAGAGACAGAAAGCAAGAAATCACCCCCCAGGGTGGATGGCCATGCAACAATTCCTTCTCCATTCTCCTCATGGGGTCTTGGGCATGCACGCACATGAGCCCAGCATGAGTTTAAGCCACTGGGAGTCCAGTGACAGCCATTATGCCAACTGCTGGTCCTGGTTTTTTCTTTTCAAATTCACATGTTGTAATTAGAATCATGCCAAAGGGAAAAATGTGTTCCCATGTAATTAGGAAGTACTATGTCTTTAAACACATCACCTTAGCCTTCAGTTCAACAATTTACTTTAGCCTTAAAGTATGTTGATTAATTTCTAAGAAATGTCTCTTAGCAATTAAGAATAGAACAATGTACGGAAACTTTTTTTGTTTGTGTGTAAGTTTTTTTTCTGCTATAGGGTGCATTTGCTCACCAGAAAAGAGAGATAGAAAGCAAAAAATGACCTCTCAGGGGGTATGGCCATGCTGCAATTGCAATCCCTTCTCCTCCATTCTCCTCTCAGGATCTTGGGCATGCATGCACATGCACCTGATGTAAGTTTAAGCCACTGGGTCTGGGACTCAAACCACAGTTGATGACATGGGAGTCCAGTGACATAACCATTACGCCAACTGCTGGTCCCAGGAAACTATCTTGAAATACTATTACAAAAGCTAAATATTACAACTACAAAAGAATTCTTTTAATTCTTTCATCACAATCAGGAAGTATCTTTCTATCAAGTTTAACAAGTTAATCAACTTAAACCACCCAGAAATCTAGGAAATTCACGTGTTTACAATGGTGTCTTTCATTAAAAAAATATAAAACATCTTTTAAAATATTGATATCCACTACACTCTACATAACTTTCAGTTAGCAGTTTTCTCAGTGCTATATATTTGAATTAAGAATCATTTAAATTACTTTCCTTAGAGACTTTTATTTTCCAATTTGTATTTTTCACTCATAAACTGCATTTTTAAGTACATATGTACACATTATACTTCCAAATGCTAGAAGTATCTGAATTTGAGCAAAAAGACATTTTGTAAATGATCAAATTACAATTTTTTAACTTATTTTTATTTGATATCTGGATTTTAATGTTACATAAAGTATTTGCATAACATAAGTAAAAATTATGTCTAATGATTGGAAATCTGAAAGATTGGAATCTGTTCCAATTCATATGCCGGTTCAACTGATCCCCTTTCTCTGCTGGCGCACTGAGCCTCACACATGCCTAGAAGAAAACAGCTGCTGGCCAGCTTTCCTACAGCAACCTAGGGAGCTGTGAACCTATGCTCATCCTGATCTCAAGTCAGTGTTCACTTGGAAATACTTGGTTTAGTAAATCAGGTAGACAAAAGTGGGAAGGAGTTAGAGTAGAGCAGGTCTCATAAAGCTTGTGATAAAGCAGACAAGTCAGTATCCACGCACGTCACCTGCTTTGCTCCAGCTAGATGTCAGTGTTTAGAGTCTGAGTGTGGGGAACCAGACACAATCATTTCACAGCTAAGGAAAGGGGTCCACCCAGGAACTTAGGTGAATGACAGACTGGGACGTGAGCCCAGCTTCAGAGGTTTCTTTATTATTATTATTATTATTATTATTATTATTATTATTATAATTTTTGGAGAGGTTTTCACTATACGGCACGTGCGCTTGCCAGACAGACAGGCAGACATAGATACAGCGAGAAATCACCCCCCAGGGGGGATGGTCAAGCCACAATCCCTTCTCCTCCATTTTCCTCTCGGGATCTTGGGCACACACGCACACGCGCCCGGCGTGAGTTTTAAGCCACCGGGTCTGGGACGCGAACCGCGGTCGACTACGTGGGAGTCCAGTGACGTAGCCATTACGCTAACTGCTGGTTCCCCAGAGGTTTCTTAATACATGCTACTCGTTTATTCCCAGAGACAGATTCACTTTCTAGTAATTTCAATAAACTTGTGGTCTATAAGTCAGTATTCTTTTTTTTCAGTCAGAAACGATTCCATTTTTATGCTGAAATTTCCTCTGCACAACTTTTCCAATCTAGGTTGTGATTAGGTTGTGATGAGGATAAGGACTGTATCTCTGTAGAGCTTAGCATACTAGCTTGTGAATTCGAGGGTTAATATGCTAGTAGGACTTCATGAATTGCTTTTCATGTCATTTCTCTTTTTTTTTCATTTTTTATTTCATTTTCTTTTATACATTCTTTCACATTATTTATCTTACAAAATGAGTATTTCAGCTGGTGAGCATTTCTCTCTAGTACAGTTGATAAAACTATAAAATATCTTCAACAGATAATACCACATTTTTTTGTCCCATTAATGCTTTGCCTCCCTGTTTTTCTTCTAAATGTCCTTCCTCAGACCCTCCTCTTTCACACACACTATATCTGGTATTTTCGGCTATGTACTGTGTTTCTATATCCTTTAGTCAGTCAGTTTCAATCATGCCATCCAGTCATAAAAATAAACAACAAAACCCTAGCTTTTGACAGGAAGTGGATGAATATGGAAGATTCACTGCTGAGTGAAGCAAGCCAGGCTATGAAGGAGAGGCATGGTATGTTTTCTCTTTTCACCTGTACCTTATGTAACTACCTCTTTTCAAATTTAACACTCAGGTCAATTATTTTATTCTACTTCTTTAAAGAGGTTTTTGCTGTAGGGCATATGCACTTGCTGGAGAGAGAGAAAGAGTGAGAGAGAAAGTGAGAAATCACCCTCAGGGAGGATGGCCATGCCACCTGTCTTTCCATTCTCCTCCCTGGGTCCTGGGCACACACACATATGCACCTGATGTGATTTTCACGCCACTGGGTCCAGGACTCTACTATGGTGGGCCATGTGGGAATCCAGCACAGTAAGCACTATGCCATTTGCTGGTTTCCCTCTTGATTTATTTTAAAAGACAGTATCAAGCACTGTAGCCAGAATGAAATGGTTCAGTTCTAAAATCCCAATCTGGAAGGAATTTTTTTTCTAGTTAAAGGTTAATACATATTATTATAGACAAACATAATATTAGAAGCGCTCAGACTTGGCCCTAGTCATCAGGCATTTTAGGATGTGCTAGATTCCTAGAAGAACCTAACTGTTTTATTCAAAATTTAAAATAATTTTCTAGAATAAATGGAATGATTACTCAAGAAAAACCAGTACTGGCTTGTATAATGGGAATAATCCACATCAGCCTTCCCACTGAACATAATAGACCTTATTTATTTTCTAAACCCATAATTTCCCCTGACTGTAAGATTGAGCTCTGTTATTTATAATGTCACCTGGATCATCTAAACATTAGTATCTTTAAAACTAGCTGGCTCCCCATGAGAGGTTTAAATTCCTGAAAACCAATTGAACTATTCTTGCTAAACAATAAACCATTGTCAAAAAAGGTAAGGCAGAGGCACACTGGTGCCAGTAGCTCATTAATTGTGTTGTTTTGTTTTAAGATTTAGTTATTTGATTATTTAGTAGTAGTAGTTTTTTGTTTGTTTTTTTGCTAGAGTGCATGCGCACTTACCAGACAGAGCGAGAGAGAGAGAAAGGGGGAAAGTGATAAGCAAATGACCTTATCTGGGACTCAAACCATGGTTGGCCGTGTGGGAGTCCAGCATCTTAACGACCATGCCACCTGCTGGCCTTGCTTGTTAATTTTTGAGGGCCATGGTTTAGAGGAGTGGGTGGTCCATTTCCACAGTCACAGCACAAGACCCATCACAGGTGTTGGAGTTACTGATCTGTGTTCCATAACCAACCACATCATTCATAAGTTTTCACTTTAGGCCTGTTGTTACCTGATTGACAAACATGAGGAAGTCCACACCCACATCCATACCTTCCATTACTGTTGACAATGTGTGCTTTCTCTGAAGGTCTTTTTATTTCTATATTCCTCTGGAGCACTGTAAGACTCTTGGTAAAGTCAGTGTGCTCTTGATAAGGTGTTGAAATCAGTTCACATCCCTTAGCAGAGTAGTACCCTCTGACTGTAGGGTCTAATAGAATCAAGATTCTAGTCCTGGACCCAGTGCCTTGAAACTCACTCAGGGCACATGTGTGTGCATACCAAGAATGCGGAAAATGGAGGAGAAGAGATTGTGGTGTGGCCATCCCATCCGGGAGTGATTTCTCATTTTCTGTCTGTCTGTCTGTCCCTGTCTCTCCTGCAAGTACATGTGCTGTATAG